CATGAGCTTTCTTTTTGTAATATTTTTATGTCCCAATTTGGAATATGATTTAGTTGTGTGGCATGATCGGTGATTGCAGATTTATTTAAAATTTTATTTATTTAAAAATTACATATATACTTATTGATCCTAACCAGATTGCAAAAAATGTTAATGGATATTATTAATATTATTATTATTATTATTATTATTATTACTATTATTATTATTAACAACAAAAACAACAATAATAATAATAATAATAATAATAATAATAATAATTACTTGGCTTTAAATTAAGAATTTAAATTTAAAGTTCAAGTAAATATTTATTTTCCTTTTTGATATATTTTAAATAAAATAATCAGATGATAATGATAATAATAATCGTTAAAATATAATTTAATAATAATTAAATAAACAATAGGTCTAGTTTAACTAACAAAAGTAGCCTCGCCTGGCATGTCTAAGATCTCTATCTAGTACTTCAGATCTAGTTTATACATAGGCCTAACAACTGTAGTGTACAATGTATTGTAATGTTTTTTTTTTATTTGAAAGCTAGGGGCCATGCCTACCCTACCCAATTATTATATAGGTCTAAGCTATAATTACAAGAATAGATAGACCTAGAATAATTAATAAATACCTAATAAGCTCTAACTCTCTATCCGGGTCACTAGTAGCCTAATCTAATACTAGAAACATTTTTATACCCACCGCCGATGCGCGGCGCCCTACTCCACTGGCCTCCCATCATGCAATTCAGTTGATTACACGATTTTGGGCTCGCTGCTCGTTCTTCCTCAGCTCTGTATTTGTTGATATCAGTGTTATGTGTAGACTTGCCACGAATCTCTAACTTACTGATTTTTCGTAGTACAGTATTCGCAAATTTCAGAGAGCGATCGGTTTATGTCGAGAAACTTTTTGATGTGAATTAGAAATCCCAGAAAAAGTATACTATGAAACGCCATGCAAATAAGCAATATGGAACGCACATTGGTGCCAAAATCGATTTATTTTTAAACAATTTCAATGATTAAGACAAAGTTTAGTGACTGGAACCCAGTCTATGTTATGTTCTACTCACTTATCTATTTTTAAACTGCTGTGACCCCTCCCCCGTTAAAAATTCTGCTAAAAGGCTACAGTTATTATGCTCTTTCGTGCAAGCAAGCAATTAGATAGGACTGGCCGTGAGTTCGAATATTATAAAGGCGACCATAATAATAATGTAAAAAAGTATTGAGAATAGAAGCGCATAATACAAATAACATATATGCGCTAAATGTAGGCCTATTTATTATTTTATCACCTTTATGGCGTTTATTAGGCCTTATATCTCCATTATTAGGCCTACCAAAATAGTGGGGGCAACACGACCAAATAACGGTTTGGCAAACTGACAATCAACTTAATCACATCACTGTCCCGTAAATAATTACGTAAGTGGTGAAGTTAGACCTATATTCAATTCAATTAAAGTTACTGAGCATGTTTTAAGTTAAGCAATCGAATGAAACTCAAAAACCATTACCGGAATTACTGTACCAATCGTTTTATGGCTAAAAACAAATTAAAAGTTTTGCTTTATAATTTGTGTACATTAATTAGTAAGCAGACAAAAATCATATTTGTATAACTTTTTTTTTCTGTTTCTGGGTTTAAAACTTCGTAAGTTTGTACTGATACTATTGGTGATTTTACCTGCATCACATTGTATTTGAGTATCTACTCACGAATTTGCAATAGAAGGACGACATGTTTATTTGTGACATTTTTAATGGTCACACAGCAAGGCTTAGGTAAAAGTACAGGCGGTGTTTTTATTTCCTCTTATGTACTACCAAGGCATAAAGTGCTATATATATTAAACTTTATAGGCCTCAATCCCTTGCATTGTAAGATTAAACAAGATGTAATTGACCTCTACGCCACAAACCACTGATCCAACCCGCTTGACTGATGACACAACAACCATAATCGAATAATTGATCACTATCATATGTTTACTTAATTACAATATATCTATAAAAAAAAAATTAAACTGTATAAGAAATTTGCAATTAGGAAAAGGAAAAGGGCAGAAAATACTTCAATTTATTTAGCACTCCAAATACCTTCGAGACTTTTGTTACAATATAATTTAAATGAAAATTATATGACGAGACATAATCAAGATACACTTCAAAAATTTTGTTTGGTTGGTACGTATAATTTCAATAGAAATAATTAATAATTTTGAAAAGTATTCTTAAAATTTATTTTTATTACACCGTCCGCTCCAGTGCAATCTTCCCCACCCCCTCGAAAAGAAATCAATATTTCTTCCTAACTATATACATTTAAAGCATTTATCAATCTCATACTACACGGTTTATATTCCTTGATACATTTTTATTTATATTTTCTCCTCCGCCTAGATGCTTTTTGAAAAATCATTTTGCTTAATAAGAAAACACAATTATATTTTGATTTTTTCCCTCCTCTGACAACCTAAAAAAAAACACAAGTTTGCTAAACAATGTATTAAAAAGAATCACCTAATGTAGATTGTGTGTCATCAGCTTACAATAACCGTATACCAATATGATTATTGGTGTTTGTAGGCGGTTAAAACAACAGCAAGCAACAACAACAGCAGCAACAAAAGCAACAACAACAATTAATAATAATAACAATAATAATAATAATGGAAATGATGTTGATAATGATGGTGACAACGATAATGATGATTATGATTTTGATAATGACATTGAGAATGATAATGACGAAGGTGATAATAATAATGAAAATAATAATAAAGATAATTAGAATAATAATAACCACCATAATTATTAATAATAATGTCAACAAATACTGTAATATTTCATAATTAAAGAACAAACCATTCGTATTTCTGTTACTATTTTTTTATATTCGTTTTACTTCTATATAAACAACATTGATAGTTCATTTTCTACTGTTATTAACATAATCTCTCCTAGTTAACTATACAAAAACTAGTAAATGAACAAAATGAACATTATACAAAATTCTAATTAGGGCTTCTGGTCTATAAGACTGGTGGTTTTCCCTTAGTACATAACTGTATACATTTCCATCCTTTAATCATTCTGTCCTCGTTTTTTTCCCCGTCTTTATCCCTTGTTATCGTCATCATTGCTTTGTTGTCAAGGTCATCGTTCTCAACACCATCATCATCAGATCATCATCATCAACATCACCCCCGTTATCACCGACATCGCTATCATCACCGTCACAGTTATCACCCTTTCATCATAATCATCCTCTCATCATCATAATCATCATCATCATTTCATATTTTTTCTTGAGACACAGGTAAACAAAGTTTCCACAGTAAAACTAGCCACATTCTAACATTGCCCCCTCCACCCTTTCACAAAAAAAAACCTTGATCGCCCTTGAATCTCAGTGGTCTATTATGTACGCCTACGTCTTACTCACCTGTAGATTATGGAAGTTTACCTACAGTACATGGGCTTTCTGCCATAATTGACTAAAATTAAAGTGTAATCGGTAGGCCTAGCAAAAGCAAATACCGTAAGCCTACAACATTTAATTCAATAACTTTTAATAAATCAAGTGATTGTAAAAATAATTCATTATTGCTTCAGGCTGAATTTGGCAAGTAGTGAAAATAAAAAAATTGTACCATTACTAAGTTATTCGAAACTCTACGGTATTCATTCATTTGTAGGCCTACATCCAAATAATATAATGCATCGAATATTGCATCCTGTGTATTCGCAAAATTTAATTGCATATTGTTAATATTTCACAATAGCCTGCACGATGTGTAAATAGACAGTAACTATTATTTATTGTATTATGTATTCATTATGTTTTTTTACATATGGAACAACATATGGAACAATTTACCTTTTAAACTTAAATTAACACACACCTTAAAATCTCTTAAAAGAAAATATAAACAATCCCTAATAGATAAGTATGCATCTTAGTTATTCATTTTCCTCTATTAAATTAAATTGTGGAAAAATATTAAAAATACAATCCTCTTCATCTCATCTCATTTTATTTTATTCTTTTCTTCCTTATTATTACTCAATTCTTATTTGTTACACCCAGAAACATTTTTCTACCTTTATTATCTACTTTATTTATTATCCATTTACTAATTCAGTATATGTTTTTTTGGAGAATCAGACTTAAAGCCTTCCTGGCTTATTGTTTCCTCCACACACAATGAATATTCACTGTATCCATTAAACAGTATTTAAATTTATATTGTTATCCATACTATGAAATTCTATCTTGATCATATTATTGTTATCTTTTAAAGTTAATGAATCAAAACCATTGAATTATTATAATAGGTTCTTATATCTTGTTCATTTATTATGTTCATTGTGTGAAACAATAAAACTGAACTGAACTGAAAATGTTCCTTGCACTTTATTTAATCATGGGGGAAATAAGAAACTCAATTTATCTATTTTTGGGACTGATTAGAAATTAAGTTTTGATCAATTTATCATTTTCGCAATAGAGCTATAGATTTGTCTTAAGTGATTTAAAATAGGCCTCAACTAGATACATCACTGTCTAGGGGGCTATAATTTTCAAATGTGCCCACTCCCCCACCCCCTCCCCCTGCTCGTTCTATAATGGCAGTACCACTTGCAAAATGCATTCGACGGCTATGTTTATTTAACTATCAATCTGCCCATAATATTGTAGATTATTGTAACAATATTAGGTTTCTCCTAAGAACTACTGTCTGTGTGTGTGAGTGAGTGTGTATTTATCATGTTCTTAATAAATTTTTACCTTATGTTTATGGTTTGTATTTCTCTTTTTCTCAAAATTATTGTGGCTCCAAAGGCACAGTCTGTTTTATGTTTCATAATATTTATCCTCTTATACCTATTTAATGTCCAATTTTACTGTTCACTTGCTTTAAAATTCTGAAATAAAATCCTTTATGTTGACTTAAAAATATTATGCGGGTTCGATATCCTTTAGGTCTAATTTTATTTAACAATTGCATTCAGTTTTTCCAGTGCGACCTCAGTTAATCTCGTGTCCGGATGATCATTGCCAAGGAAAAGTTCGAATATACGTTGAGCTTCATTGAACTGATAGCGGGCTCTCTCATAAAGATTATTTGCGAAAAGAAATGCTCCCAAGTTATACCTGAAGATAACAAAATTCCAGAATTTTGTTAGAAAATCTATATGTAGACGGCTGTTTACGAATATGTATCACAATACAGTATAGTGAAATCATATCATGATATTTTACTTCAAGAAGAAAGGGCTTCTTCAACGTGCGTCCCTTCCTCTCTTTCTCTCTCTCTCCCTCATTCCTTCCCATCATCCTCCTATCACTATTTTGATATAAATCATGTTGTATAAACAAGGCTGACTTGAATCACTGACCCTCACTTGAAACCACTCAACTCACTTATTCCCTCGCTTTCTCTTGATTCCTTCGCTAACTCGTTCTTAGCTCTTTTACCCATTCCCTAATTCCTAACATTCTCCCCCTCGTTCAAACTATCCAAGATAATTATTGGCCTCAATTCTGATTGTGTACGCAAATTTTTAAAACATACCTGACAACTGCTACATCCACATGGTTTTGTCCATAGGTCTGAACCATTATATTTAAAACGCCTTTGAATAAATCACCGGCTACTTTTTCATTCTTATCATCGTAAACAAGAGCAATATTGTTCAAGATTGCCGCCACGCGCGGATGACTTAAACCCACTTCGTTCTGGGTAAGCTGCATGTCCCAGAGATGGTGAATCAACCCATCTTCAAGTCGTCCCTGTCCATACGATAATTCTCCAATCTATGTGCATACATAAAATGTTAGGCTGTCTCTTATACACATCTAGATGTGTATAAGAGACAGGATTAACTTAAAGCTAATTTTAAGACTAATCTTCAGTATTACCCACCTCCAGTACTTCTGTGTGTACACATTGCCGTTTGTATGTGTATTTCTTGTGATGGTAAACAATCGTTGAATAGTCTTCCTGGTATTTTGTTTCCAGTGCATCAAGTAGACGTTCATATAGTGATCTGTATACATAATATCAGTCAATTATGTCAAAGCATGGGGTCGAAATATATATATATACATATATATATATATATATGTATATATATATATATATATATACATGTATATACATATATATATATATGTATATATATATATAATTTTATTCAAAACTAAAAATTTCAAATATCGTTTAATTTCTGGTAAGTCTCTCTTTGGAATTGTAAAAAACATATCTGACCACATTTTTCTATTTAAAGCAATCTCCCTTAACATTACGATATCATCATACGTGTTTATATCCTCAACATGCAATATCATATATGATAAGATTCAACAAATTCATTTGGTGTCTACCTCGTCTACGAGGAAGAAACTTAAAGCTATTTACTGCAAATGTTAAAGCAGTCATCGGCGGTGCATTTTCAACAAACCTTGGTATATGTCCTAAAATATTCCATTTAACACCTAATTATGTAGGCTCTACAATATATATCTAAAACAAGATATATGACTATACTTGCCTACAATACGTAAACATAGGCTTTCATCATATGCATAGTGGTTATTTTTAAATACTGTCGCAGGAATAATGCATTCTTGGGATTAAGCATTGATTACGGTTAATGAAAATCAGTTGCTGAATCAAGTATACTATCAAACCTAAGAAGTTATGTATTTCTAACCTTGCGCCTTTTTGAAGACCTAACTGCATGAAGAATCCCGCCATCGACCTGATCAAGCTTGCTTTGTCTCGTGTGTTGTCCCATGTTTCAGCATTTGCCAGTTTGTCAAGATACGCCTGCTCCACTTGCTCGTAGCCTCCGAGCTGTAATTCATAAGGATTTTTTTCATAAGCAGATAATAATTTCGATTCCTAATTGATTTTTAATGTGGCAAAGAAATGAAGAATTTCCAGTACAAGATAAACAGCATTATTATGAACAGTAGAATAACAAACTCACTAAACTAAACCAGAACTAGGAAATTAACTACTTCAACATTAACTAACATTTTATAATATTCTATTTTCATACTAGACATACTGACTTACCAACTGCCAAGCCTTTATTAGTTCAAATTTTCCTTCTTCCGTTGCCATCATTTTTTGGAAAACTGCAACGTTTAGAATGGTAGCTCGCAGACGCTTCAAGTCACCGGCCTGGGATAATAGGAATGGTAACTCTTCCGTCTGAATTAAGTACAAAAATAAAAGGAATAGCAAAGTCAGATCAGAACTAATCTTCAGTTAAACAAATAAGATTGTGATCTAGGATTTGGATTTGCAATACATCTACTGTAATTTACATTTTTACCTTCTATTGATTTACTTTGATTCTGAGTTCCCTACCTTGTGTTTTTAGTTCAATCTGTTTTTTGTTGAGATTTTTTTTTGTATTTGGTTAAGTTATTTAAGAAGTGGAAACAAATTGTATTAGTATCTTGTCTGAGACAACTACACAGATCTTGTTATAAGTTACAACAATATATTTTATCTTGTAAACTGAATTATTAATGCCTAAGAAAAATTGCATTTACACCATTGTATGTATATTTTCGATGGGTTTATTAAAATGAATCGTTGATGTATTTCGCCAATATTTTCGGAGGCATTTTCTAGTGATTTAATTACATCTTATTTAATTCGATTCTGTGGGACAGTGCAAATTAGCGCAGACATTCGCATTTCTGTCAATTCGTCAATATTCAATGTATGTCTGTTAGCTGACAAATTTAAACGAAACGTACATAACGATGATCTATGTCCTTCTTGTTGAAGAAATTCGCCAACCCAATGTAACACTTTCGTTTGAGGTCAGGTGTGCCCAAGTACTTTCGCTCAACTGCTTGTCTGAGATGATCATGAAAGAAGTTAAGCACTCCATTGCGATTGATTAGATTTCCCTCAAGTGATAAGTAAAATGGAGACCATATTCTAGATGAAACCTAAATGAATTATAAACAAACTTTATGTTAATTAGCCCCCCGTCGGGGAGAGCGCCCCCCCCCCATCGGGAAGAAAGCGTACAATTCGTCTAGGAGAAAAAAAATAATATGTATTTTCTACATATTAATAGACTCTGAATTCGATTAAATAAGGCTCTGAAACCCCTAAAATTGTCAAAATTTTCGGGGGCTTCCCCTGGACCACTTTCGAGACCTTTTAATCGAAGCTCGACCACGCCCACTTTGCTTTCGTCGGGGAAACTCTCGCTGTGCAAGTCACTTGTTTCCTTAGGAAAGACACTTTATCTACGCTTGTCTCTCTCTACCCAGGTGTATAAATGGGTACCGGCATATGCTGGGAAGGTAAAATAGACTGCAGTGCGGGAGTGGCGACCCCCCCCCCCCTCCACAGCCTTGCACAGTCTGGCGCAAACGCTAAGGAAAGAGAGACGGGCACTCGGGCCTGCTTCAGTTTTCAAACCTTTACCTCACACATTACCACAATTTTGTATAATTTGTTAAATTCTACAGCCCACTTTTTATATCCATATTATCAGAAAATAGTCTTCATTTATTTGATATATATCACAAAATATACATAAATAGTCAATACAAATTGAATTAAACATCTTATTTATTGGTATGGAGACAGAAGTTAAAGAAACTACCTTCAAGTATTCTGTTAATTCCGCCTCTGTCATACCATTGTTAGAACACCATATTGCCGTGGTCGTATCTTTCACAAGCCCAGGCCTAGAAATGCGTTTTAAGAATATATTACTAGTACTAAGTTGGTTGTACATAAACTAATGTATAAATATGAACAGTTTTGAATAAATCACATGGAACATCTTTTGCAGCCCAACATTTTTTTAAATCTTAGTTCGTAAGAATGTAAATGAATTGAAAACACTTGAATTAGAATAAATAATCCTACACTAAAATATTTAATATAATTCAAAATTTAAAAATACATAGAGATTGATAACTGCAAGTATTAATTTACTTAATAATGTATCGGAAGCAAAATAAAATTGTTGAACATGCGAGTTTGTATATTATATCTGTTTCAAATTATATTTTTACTTTAATAGCACTCACCTTTCGTATGGACCACTTTCAAAATCGGTTTCCAAACGTTCGAGAATTTTGACAAAGAGTTTTCCCGGATCGTCTGCTCTAAGGTATGTCTTGATTGCATTCGTCAATTGGTAAAAACTTCCATAAATGCGAATCTAAAAAAATGTATAATGGGTAAATTATGTGTTGAATGATAACCAAGAAAATATAATTAAATAAATGTAATTATTATTGTATATTAAATCTAACAGATAGCCTCTTGATTAAACTCTTGTTATATTTAAGTAGTTCTTGAAAATAATGTGTCATTGAGCTATAATAATATTTTCTTTTGTGAAGTACTTGTTACTCGTGTTATAAACTTTCATATAACTCGCACCTTGCCGTCATTGACAATTCGATCACATTATCAATTTTCAATCCCCGAAGCCTTTACTCAGAAAGGAGGAAACTTGGAACTCACTGGCAGTACAGATTTTGTATCTTTTCTTCTACTGTTACAAACATACTTGCAAATACATAATCCTAAACGCACAAACCAACCTATGTCATGTGATCTTTGCAAGGCGGTTTAAAAGATAACATATTTTTAAACATACAGACCTCGTCCATAAGTGACTTGAGGTATAGTGGGTTACTAGTCTGGTCTGCCTTTATTACCATCTCCATCTGTTCCTCGCTGAGTGTCTTAGCGTACAGTGTCATGTAATCCGTAATTATTTGTTTCTTCTCACTCGGTTTTAGTGGAAATATCTCAAAGGTTGGCCATTTATTTTTCTGCACCGCATCATAAGCCTAACAACAAAAATAGCAGTATTTTATAGTAATATGATGATGATGATGATAATAATAATAATAATAATAATAATAATAATAATAATTATTATTATTATTATTATTATTATAAGTCTAATGACTACAGGGGGCACAAAAGCTCACCCTGAAAAGAAAATAGTGTACACTAAAATTACCAGTTAAAGAGGCACCTCATTTCACCATATCTTGCCAGCTAAATCCCTCTCACTTAATAGTCGATCCCAACATTATTCCGTCCCATATTGCTCTATTTACCCTTCACCCATGTCAGTACCCCTAGATATGCCGATGATTATTTGCTGTGTTAACATAATTGCACCCCAGATGACATAATTAGGAAGAATACAACAGGTAGTTTGATTTTAAGTATATTAGTGGCTAAACTCACCTTTCCGGGAAGGGTTGACAGAACCATTTTCACTCCATCTGGAAGTTTTTTTGGAAGCCATATTAATTCCTGTTCGTCACCTTTGATGATAAAACAGAAAATTAAACGTTACAAACCAACTGGAATGAACTGGAATGAATGTGTTTTTGCCAAATCCAAATTCCGATTTTAGAAGTGATAATTAATCTTACTTTGAATATCTAACACTCCATGTAGCCTATGCACGAATACAAGTATCAAGATGATAATAAATTAATAAGTTTAGAAGACGAGAATAAAATAACTTTACCTTTAGTCCCAGCACCTGTGTCTAGCTGATTTAACGCATCCAATACAAGCATAACTTTGCCTCTATTTCCTGCTTGTTTGAGCCACGATGGTAGATCGAGAACCAGGTTACGATCGGATGAAGGAACTGGTTGCGGAAAATTGAAAAACTGCTTCATTTCTTGATATAATCTGTTATTAAATATATTCATAAACGATAAGTATTCCTGAAAAATATTTAGGCATACTAGTTTTTAAATTTTTGTGCAAAATATAATTAGCGTCATATAATCCTCAGGTCTACATCAACAATTAAAATACATCGAGACCATAGTGCGTTAAGTCAACAATGGTCAGTCTGTGTAAATTTAAATTTGATCTAAAAGCACCCAATCTGTCGGTAAATCAATCAATTGATCGATCTATAAAGTCTGTACCGTCTAAGGAGATTAAGATGCGATGCACTTTCTGCAGAACTTCCAATGAAATGCATAAACACGAAATGATTTGGTTTTTTTTCTTCGTATCTTGTGCACCAGTTGGCGATCAATGCTGACTTTCCAGAACCAGATCTCCCGAGAATGACGAATGGCTCATCGGTGTCCTGGCTAACATAATCATCGATTGCCTTAAAGTAGTCCTCTCGACCAATATAGATTCGACGGCGAACTTCGGCAAATGCCTCGTGAGCTTCTCGTTCGCGCTGAAGGCCTGTAAGCTCTGTGCCCGGTGGGAAATCTTCGTCGACACATCTTGTGAGATCCTATGATTAGAATGATAGTATTTAATGACTCACATTTTGTTATAATAATCTTTCAAGTTTCAATTATTACTATCATCATTATTTTCATTGTGGTGCATCCGTCATAGAGGAACACAGGAAACGACTTTCACAGATGGGAGCCATGGGCAAGCAACGTCAACCCACAATCGCTGGGGATGAGATTTAACATTTTATGGCTAAGGCACCAGATAACTTAGAATGTCCCTGACTATTTTTTATAAACATTATCATTATTATACCTCAAGAATCTTGGATTGAACTTCTTCAACCGATTTGAACTTTCTGACATTCATTCCAGATTCTTCCACAATTTTTCTGAATTTCTGCTGTTGTTCGAAATGCCAAAAAGACTCAAGCGCTTTTTTCTTGCCGTCACTTTCAGACTCACTGACTGTCTTGTTGTTGTCTTCCTTGGGATTTTCGATATTACCAGATTGTTTCTCTGTCTTGTTCGCCTCTTTCTCTTCTCCACCCTTCTCCTTTCTTTCTTTGTCCTCCCTTTCTTTTGCTTCCATGTCCGCTTGCTATAAAATAATATATTGACAAAAATTGATCATTTATTTTCTCTCTTCTATTAAGGTTAAGCTGTTATATTTAGCAAATGTAAAATCACACAAATGAAGAACATGTCTGAGTAAAATTCTATAGAGATCATGATTTGTTGAAAAATTGAAAGTTTGTGGACATAGTGTTTTTAACAGATTTAAGTTTGAGAAAACAATCCATCAGTCTTAGACCTACCGTAACACCTTCAATTGAAGCCCAGTAGGCTTAATCTCGAGATAAAGCCCATCTCGAATTGAAGCCCCTCTTTAATTTGCAAAATTAGCCAGTTAAATACACTCCATGATACAGATTGATGTTACAGTGGCCTTATTTATTGTTTTATAGTACAAATCTGGACCAATTTTCTTAAAATTTTACCCATTTTAGGAAAATGAGAAATCTAGACCCATTTTATGTATGAAATTGTATTTTTCAAAATGTAGACACCATTCTTTGTGGACCCATTAAAAATTTTGTGGGACTGTCCCAACTGTTCCAATAGCTGGCTACGGCATTGGGTATACAGTATTTAAGGTTTAAACTTACAATCTCTTGCATTATCTTGAGATCATCTTCTTTTAGCTGGTTATCCCGTACGTAGAAGAAGGATCGATTGATGGAACTTTCCTTATTCATGAGGGCACCATACAATGCCTCTAACTGAAAATTAATTGGACGTCTTTTTAATTATATTTGCAAAGTGTTTATATTGCTAAGCCTATGATTGAACTACGCCTTTTGATCATATACAAATTTAGACTTTGGGTATGTAATATTCTATATTTACCCGCGTTACACTAGTATCGAATCTGAAGGAATCGATCCAATTAAATCGACTGTGATTTTCGATAGCAACATTGTATGTTCTGTTGAGTAGTTTATCAGGCAGTACTTCTTTCTGAGACCATCCATATCGGTCACCAAGCAAGCAGATAAAGTACGGACACTTATCAATCTAACAAAAGCAGAAACTGTTAATACCGTATGTACCTGTACAACAATTAACATTATATTCTTCCTTTAGTTTGAGATGTTCATTTTTTAACAACACAATATTAGTTTATATATTAAATTAACCAATACCTAAACTGCTGTTGCTCCTGACTTACATAATTTCAGTCAAGATCTACGATAAAAAAAAATAATGACTACTTCACTCAAATGTATCACTAAAAGTATAAAAGGGATTATGATTTTACCACCTTTGTGATACTCATAAGTTAAATATTTCCGTTTAAAATTTTGTTCCTTTATTTAGCATTTCCTTTTTTGTTTGTTGTAATATCAGGGGCGGATTTAGTGGGGGGGCGGCCCCTTTTGGGAGGTAAAAAAAGAAAAAAAAAAGAAAGAAAAAAAAATTATAGCCCACAACTCCTCAAATGTTATTTTCCGGCGTCTAGAACACAAAAATTTCGCGGGGGCATGCCCCGGACCCCTAGGACATTGTTGTCTCGATCGGCCCAAATTTCGGCCCCCCACTTTGCCCCCCCCCTTTTGGACATCTCTGGATCCGCCCCTGAATATTGTTTATCTCTGTAATCTAGGTCCATACAATACACTAAATTCTTCCTGTCTGTATGTTCACTCACCTCACGTAAGCAGATAGAGATCGTCTGACCGTCTTCTGATTGCTCTTTTGTGATCCCCCATCTAAGATCTACGTACGTGAAGCATATACCACGTTCTGTACATAAGCGATTCAATTCTCGGAATGCCTTTTTGATAAGAGCCTCGCGTTCTTCCTGGAAATCTCGGAATGTACTGGAAACGAAAACGCGAACCTCTCGTCGTTTCTTCGGCTGTCGACGATCCACGGGTTTTGATATTGGAAAGGAGTCGTTGACCACATTCGGCAATGGTTTGTCAAAATCTATAATTTCTTCTGAATAAACAAGTATGTTTGACATGTGAAAATATTGACTAACATACAAAGGCACGGTGATGCCATTAAAGTGTTTGGACGTGGAGTTCAGTTTATTGGACAGTTTGTCAGTCGATAAATCCGTTAGTCTGTAGTATGTCTAATTGCAAATAGCAAAATCAAAGAATATGCCTAATCGTAATTTCTGAAAAATAGGTAAGATATAGGCTTACCTTCATTTTGTTGAATTTCAGTCAAAACCTCTTTATGCTCTTCTAGCAATCCTCGTATAATGTCATCAATACTTGGTTTTTCAGACTTTTGATTTAAGACGTCATCGTATAAGTCACCGGCAGCGGCTTCGACCTCATTCTTCACTCGCAAACACGCAGCAGACGCATACGCTCCATAATGACCCGCCCAGAATTTATCGTCTTTTGCTTTATTTTATTTTCACAGAACAAAAAAAGATGAGGTATAAAATGCCATACCAGGTAAATATCTTTATTTTAAAACATAGATATTTTCAATATATCACTATTATCAGAGGCTATTGAAATAATCATTATTAGTATCCGAAACGGCTGCCTTGGTGGAGTTCTTTTTCTATCTTTGGAAGGCCAAAAAACAAACCCTTCAAATCTACTTAGGCTTGCCCGTTTAACGTTCAATATGCTGTACCGAAATGAAAAATGTTATCCTCACCAGTTGTTTGGAATGAGATGAAGCGAAGACCTTTTCCATAATTCTTAAATGTGAAAGACTCACGGATCCAGTCTTTGGACTTTATACTTCCTTTTTCGTCAGTAGTCTGTGTGGCAATGACATCGCCATCTGCATCCATCAGTGTAATAGTTAACGAGTAGAAACCTCCACCACAGCTCCCTTCATGGAACGATTCTGATGCCTTTAAGATAGAAAAAATAAGCAGGGCTATACGAATGTGAATCAGATGATAACGTGCTACTACTTGTATTCATTGTACACACAAGAATTATATGAAAGTGAAAAATATTTTTTAAGTTTGCTTTGAATGCAATGAATGCAAGTGTATTTTTTGTACCTGAATTTCTGGACTGGAATCCAAATGTTCCTCTGTAAAGTGTGCAAGAAGACTAATTTCCTGATTTTTGACACAATTCATGTGCGATGAGCAGAATTCTGTAGTAGAGAGTTACAAAAATGTATTACTATGACGTTTTGTTTTGTATTCAATTTATTTTTATTAGAATATTTCATCCAAAAAGACTCACGGCTTTCAGTGTTGTCCCCTCCTCTTACAATTTTCCAATCTCCACCATAATTCCAGCCAGACATATCTGCACGCTGAAAAAATGAATACATTTTAGGCTTCGAGATAAGTATTAACTGTTATGTTAAGCATTTAACTGACGTTGATGTGTTGAAACATGTCGTTTTTATGTACGGTGCTTATGTCTTTGGAAGAAGTCATCCAAACACACGTCCCCTGACTCTACAACACTTATTTTAAGTTCAGTTTTTTAAATTAATATCGACGTTGATGGGTTATGTTTTACCTCACCAGATGCATTTTCAAGCAAATTTGAAGACCATCCGGCTATTTTAATCTGCTTTTTGGCCAATGATCGATCGAGAGGAAATAAGTTATCTGCTAACTGAAAGGAAAAAAAAAACATCATGTTAAATATACTTCACATAGGAACAATAGGACGTCGCTAATGGATACGTCATTTTTTGGTCGGCTGACGTAAGTGGCAATCGAGGACCTAAAGTCTAATGAGTGTGGAACATCATGGTCGAGAGAATGTTTTGTGGGTGTTGACTTAACTATTGTGGGGGTCCAGGGGGACAACATCTTAATTTGTTTAGCTAGATATTCCCATTATTTGAGTACCTGTGTGCTTAAAATTGCCTGTAAACGGCGATGTGACGTAGGCCTACGTGGTGCAGTGGTGGCACCAGAAATAAAAATAGTTTTTATAGCTTAATTTGGTCCTAAATGGGCTTTTAGACCATAATATTAGTGATTGGCAATCAAAATAGCATTATTTGAATAGGTAAATTATTATAATATTTTTTGATGCGACAACATAGTCGTTCGTCGGAAGACAGAGAGAATGCCCACTCTGCCCCTGTCTCTTATACACATCTAGATCCAATTCCATGGTGTTTCTTTTTTGGTAGCTTTAAGGCTTTAATCTTAAAATTATTATTGTTCATCCTGAAAGTACGGAGTTTTTATCTCTTATCTAATGATGGTTAGTATTTTTTATGACTGATACCAAAGGGAACGAGCTTCCATTTTGCCACCCCGTAGATTCGCCACTAGATGTGGTATTGGTAGTGTCAATATAGAAATAACTCTCTTTGGACTTGGTTGGCAACTCTTAATTTTTCACTCGGCTGTTGCTTACACCCTCTTACTGTACTGTGCTAATGTGTCTACTTCTCATTTATTTTAAAAATTAATTTACTATATATATTTCACTTTATTCAAGTACCTCATTTGTAACAATTCGTGGCCAATGGCCAAATTGCAAGTTACAATTACACTAGGGAATGCAATAAAACATATAAAAAATACATTAAAATGGAAGATTATTATTGCCATCTAAATAAAATAATTATTATAAGAATTGACATTAATGAAATTTAATAAGATAAAACTTTACATTAAAATGGTAGATTACAATTATCATTTATGAATATCAAAAATTTATAAATATAAAAAAATATCATTTTATAAATTAAAAAAAAACAACAACAAATGGTTATATTACGCTTTGTATCTTCCTCGGCAAAACCTTGACAGTTATTTTTGGTGGGTTTGAGGGGATCGCCGGCGGAAAAATATGCCTATAGGCCTGTATCTGTGTTTTTTTTCTATTCATTTCTTTTATTGGTTACAGAAAAAACAAAAACAAAACAAGAGTACATTATTTTCTTATTTTTTATTGTGATTAATGATATTCGTTTATATTATGCACTTTACTGACTTAACTATACCATATAAAGTCATAACGTCCTCTGGACAATAAAATCAAAATAAATATTTTTACCTCAATTTTACTTTTGATTTCTTTGGCTACCTCGTCATCAGAGGGTTGAGGTACTTTATACGTCATATCCGTAATGAGCAGTCCCGCTAATCTTGCAGTAGGGTTGTTGTTAACTACGAGTATATTTTGAATTAAGATATTTAAATATAATTACGTATAATAATTTTAAAGAATATAAAACTTAGCTCTGTCCACATCTCCAAATGTTACGTGACAATGCTTGTTTTAAACCATTCTCCTTTTATCAATGCTGATTGGTTATTTTTTAAGTTTACCTGACACACTTCGGAATGTTACATTCAATAACTGACTACTATGAAATTTGTAAAACAGGCCTATATGCCTACTGTTTATTGATTTTTGGTGATACTCCTAAGCTCATATTTTGAATAAGCAACTTAAAGTTTTATTGTAATGTTAAAGGCAATAGAACAACTATAGCGAAAACACGTATGCATACCGTACAGATTATTTGTATACATACATGATTCAAATGACAATAGCAATTTTCCGTCATCAACCACAGTTCCAATGTCGGTGTACTTTAAAGTCATATCTGGCACCTTGTCCCGTATCTTTTCAAGTGCGTCTGTTACCTGTAATTATAATGTCCTCAAATATAAGTGAAATCAATACGGCACCGTATGTATTAATGCTGAATACTTGGTGGTGGTGGTTGTGATGAGGATGATGATGGTAATATATATTTTCAATAATAATATAATTTCAATAATAATATAATTTCAATAATAATAATAATAATAATAATAATAATTATTATTATTATTATTATTATAAATAATAATAATACAGGTCTCCTTCCAATTAAAGAACACATTTAGGACTGGTGATTTAGTGGTGTTTAGAATCTCTCTAATTGAAGTGCGGCACTAAAAGTGGTCTTAAATACCACTATTTAGAGGGAAATTAAGAAATGATATAGTAAAGGTACAATATTTATTTTATTCCAAGTGATTTAGAATTGATCTACAGTTACTGTAGGCTGTTGTTGATTCTTAGTAAACCATTTCTGGGTATTCACACATCGTCCTACTAAAACTTATCAGTATAGGCCTATTCAATAGCACTGTATACAAAAAACACCATCTTATATTGTGTAATATTTGATGTGTATATTCATATCACTATTTTTTTTTTAATTTAACTGCATAAAGTCACTATGCTTAGTGACAATAACAAACATAATATATGACTAAGCCTATATGATTAGTGTGAATTGTTACGCAGGACGTGCTATAAAAGAAAGTGAACCAAACATACCTGGTGAGCCACGTTTTTACCCTGCACACAGAGCTCGTTGATGAATGAGATAGTCTTACTGACTCCGTAAAGTCTGAGGTTATAAAAACCGTTTGGAATCTCAAACTATGAAAGCACAATTTGAAAGCAGAACAAAAAATGTAACATCTCAATGGTTCTTGATCTATTATAACCATCGTCATTGTCGTCGTCACCGTTGTCGCCGCCGTCACTGTCATTGGCATCGTCACCGTCACATTTACTGTAATTGTCATCTCCACCATCATCATAATCACTATCATCGTCACCATCATCATCACCACAATCACTATTGTCGTCATTATCTTCACCACCATCATCATCATTATCATAATTACCCTTGTAATGAGAAACGCGTTTAAAGTCAACCAAGATTTCACCCGATCGTCATACGCACTGAACCACCGTCTTAAGAAACATTCACACCGAATCCGAATTTTGGTTGGATGGTTTTTTCCATCCGAAAAACCATCCAACCAATCAGAAGACTCAGATCAGTATGTATGAATGGAGACGTTTCGTTCAGTGCATCGGACACGCGGTCCACATGTGAATGCACCTCTATACTTGGATCAATGAACCTCTAGTTGTGCTGTGAAGATGATCTCACCTCGTATTCCATTCTGTCAAAGAAACCAGGGTGGTTGCTGAAAGTGGTTCCACCAATGAATCCGTCGTAAGTGTTACCAATGACAGCAGTAAGTTCGTCATCCGAGAGTAGGTCATACAACTTCCTGACGCAAAAGAGACCTGTCACCGGTACGTAGGAAACGCATTCGGAATAAATTAATGTCACTTTATAGTGGATGAAATAGAAAGTTTAATATAACAACAAAAACAACAACAACAACAACAATAATAATAATAATAATAATAATAATAATAATAATAATAACAACAATAACAACAAAAATACCTATAACAATAATAATAATAATAATAATAATATAATAAAAATAACTCTGAAAAGTATAAAACGATAAAATCGTTGCTACTACTACGATTATGACGTCATCTGATTTGTCAAAATATGTTGTTATCGCATAACTAATAAATCGTTATCGAATCTTTCTAGTGTGAAAAATTTTCTTATTTCTTTTATTTTCTATATGAACAATTGCTTTTTAGCTTTTTTATCGTTATCGTTGAAGTATAAACAGGCCTTTACGCTGGCAGGGTTTAAACTGGGGACTTCAGCACATAACAATACCCCTCGGCCAACCCCTATTAATAATAATAGTAATAATTATAATGATAATAATAATAATGATAATAAGAAAAAGAGTGTAAGTTACCTTTTAGAGTTGTAGTTTAGTTTCTGGGAGTTTTCGATGACATTTCGTTATCTTCGTCAGCCGTTTGAATTTGGCAGTTAACTGACATGTCAGTTGTTGATGTTCGTGTGATGACGTAGCAGGCTATTGTATATGGGTGGTTCTGTAGCTCATATCCGCAATCTCGGTTTAATGGTGGCGTTCTCATTTTAATTTTTATAGCTTCTTTTATTTTCCTTTTGAATGAATTAGTCTCTTTAGTTAATACTTTTTTTTTAATAGATTTTATTCCAATTAATGTTATTTCCAGTGATTTTACAATGTTCCGCGCGCTATCGCTGAAAGTATTTACCCTAGGATCCAGACCAGGTTTTGTATGCACTTTGAGGTGCAGAGAATTTGACTTCAGAAATTGGTTCAGGGTGGTCCAAGAATCATTTTTGGCTTGGTAACATATTTTCAAAATGTGGCGAAAGGTCAAAAGGTCAGGGTCAAATGTCAAATCTATAAGGTCCTTGTATCTCCACACCCACTGGTGGTAGAGAGTTGAATTTGGTGCCAATTGTTTGGAACATGCATATTTTTATTTGCTCTAATGGAACATTGTGCTAAAAAATGACCGGAAATGCCGTTTCTGACCATTGACATGCTTCAAGATCATAGCCATATTGTCCTTAAATTATCGCAACCACTGGCGGTAGAGAGTTAATTTTAGTGTCAATTTGTTCGGAACATTCATGTTTCTATTCGGTCTAATAAAAGAGTTTGCTAAAATATTACCGGAAATGCCATTTCTGACCTTTTACATATTTTATATAAGATAGCCATTGGAGTCGTGATTATCTCCGCAACCACTGGTGGTAGAAAGTTAATTTTGGTGCCAATTCGTTTGAAACATTCATGTTTCTATTTGCTGTAATAGAAGATTTTGCTTTAAAAAAAAAAGATCGGAAATGCTGTTTTTGAACTTCGACATGTTTCAAGGTCATAGCCATATGGTCCTAATATCTCCGCAATCACTGGTGGTAGAGAGTTAATTGTGGTGTCAATTTGTTCGGAATATTCATGTTTCTATTTGGTCTAATAGAATTTTGTTTCTAAAAATAAGTGGAAATGCCGTTTCTAATCTTTGACATGTTTCAATGTCATAGCTTTTAGCCCTTATATCTCCGCAAGCACTGGTGGTAGAGAGTTAATTTTGGTGTCAATTTAATCGAACATTCATATTTCTTTTTGGTCTAATGAAACAGTTTGCTAAAAAAATGGCTGGAAATGATGTTTCTGTCCTTTGACATGCCGACATATTATTATTATTATTATTATCATTATTATTATTATTATTATTATTATTATTATTATTATTATTATTATAATTAAGGCATATGATATGTTTATCTCTGTACATACTTGTTGTTAAAAAAAAGTACGGTAATATGTATAAATAGTAATAATGTTGCGTATGTATGTATTTATGCATGCATGCATATATATATACATATATATATATATACATACATATATATATATATATATATATATATATATATATATATATAATGTATTAAAAGTAAAGTACTGAAAAACAACAATGCTATGGGAAAGAAAAAAGTCCGGATCTCTTGGTAGAGATATATGTAGATATAGTAGTATATATAAACCCGTTTTTTAACAAATGATAATAAATTAAACAGAAACATGTGTAAAATGAATAATTTGAGATCAATATTAGGTCTTTACAGCAAGTATGTACAGAGATAAGCATAAATATGCCTTAATAATAATAATAATAATATATGTCGGCATGTGAAAGGCCAGAAAAAGCATTTCCGGCCATTTTTAGCAAACTACCGTATTCCATTAGATATATATAAAAGATATATAATAGATAAAATAGAAACATGAATGTTCGATTAAATTGTCACCACAATTAACTCTCTACCACCAGTGGTTGAGGGGATATAAGGACTAAGGCTATGACATTTAAACATGTCAAAGGTTAGAAACAGCTTTTCCGCTTTTTTTAAAAATGTCTATTAAAGTAAATAGAAACATGAAGGTTCCAAACAAATTGGCACCAAACATAACTCTCTACCACCAGTGGTTGCGGAGATAATAACTACTCAATGTTTATGATATATAAAATATGTCAAATGTCAGAAATGGCATTTCCAGTCATTTTTTAGCAAACTCATTTAGTAGACCAAATAGAACCATGACTTTTCCGAACAAATTGACACCACGATTAACTCTCTACCACCAGTGGTTGTGGAAATATATGGACCATATGGCATGACCTTGAAACATGTCAAAGGTCAGAAACGGCATTTCCGGTCATTTTTTTTAAAGTAAAATGTTTATTAGAGCAAATAGAAATATGTATGTTCCGAATAATTTGGCCCCGAAATTAACTTTCTACCACCAGTGGTTGCGGAGATATTAATGACTCAATGGCTATCATATATAAAATATGTGAAAGGTCAGAAATGGCATTTCCGGTTATTTTTCAGCAAACTCATTTATTAGACCGAATAGAAATATGCATGTTCCGAACAATTTGGCACCAAATTCAACTCTCTACCACCTGTGGTTGCGGAGATACAAGGACTTTATAGCTTTGACCTTTGACCCTGACCTTTTGACCTTTCGCCACATTTTGAAAATATGTTACCAAGCCAAAAATGATTCTTGGACCACCCTGAACCAATTTCTGAAGTCAAATTCTCTGCACCTCAAAGTGCATACAAAACCTAGTCTGGCTCCTAGGGTAATTTCAACCCGTTGATTTAAATGTTCCTTGACTTGTATGTTAAATGATTGTGCGGTTTCTCCGATGTACGTTTTACCGCACGTATCACATTCAATTTCGTACACGACCCCGCACTGTTTTTGAACTGGGGTGGTTCCTTGGGTTTGACCAATTGTGTCCGCAGTGTGTTGAAAAGTTTACACTAAGCTGTTACTCCGTTTCTTTTGTAAATTTTATTTAGGGCTTCTGATGTTCCCTTGATGTATGGAAGAGCAATAAGAATTTTCTTTTCATTTTCAATATCAGTTTCGTCTTTATCCGTTAATTGTACTTTTTGTGTGATTTTCTGCATCCCGTTAGGATAATTTTTTGCCGCTAGTACTTTGTGTATGTGGTTAATTTCACTAATTGTGTCCTCTTCTTCGCTTATAATGTTCTCTGCTCGGTATAATAAAGAACATAGCACTGATCTGTTGGTTCGATTGAAAATTTAGATATTGGTCAGTGTGTGTTGGTTTTCTGTAAATCGTGATTTGTGTAGAAGTGCCTGCGTTAATGTGTGTATGTGTCCAAAAACGGAAAGGTAACCTACACTCTTTTTCTTATTATCATGACAGAGTCAGAGAATAACTTCCATGTGATTAATAATAATAATAATAATAATAATAATAATTAGACCTAATAATAATAACAACAAAAACTGTTATTATTATTATTATCATCATCATCATCATCATTACTTTAAAAAAAAATACGTAGCCTACCCTGTTCTTTGTGCATTCGAAAAAGTGTTTGTGTGTCCTGGAATACAACCCCCGAAAGTGCTTCGTACGCTGGTCCTCCGCAATTTACGGCCACATGGACGCCTTTCGGTTGGATCACCATCGTATGCGGCGATCCACCTAGCTCCATTGTTTTGTCAACACCATCTAAGTTTACATAAATAATAAGCAGTACCTGTAAGCTGTAGGTAAGTTCTGTGAATGGCACAGAGAAAAGGAACTGATCTCAATCCCCTTCGCTTCTCTACATGTGATTTCAGTTGGAGGGCTAGAATGCAAGTTTCAAAAGCACAACGTCTTTTCGGTTAAGCCGGGCAATATGGCCCTTTGTTCGCCTATGTGTAGGCCTACATTTAAGAACGCGGTGCGCTCTTTGGAAAGAGTAAGGGATTGTATCCAGGTGTACTGCCCAACGTTTCGGACTACCTTTGGTTATCCTTGGTGTTTACACCAAATAAACCCTATCAAATCCAATCCTCACATAAACCAATGACAACAACAATAGATTTTTTCTTGCGTTAAAGCTAACCTTAATAAATGTGTACTGTGTATAATAATTGCTTATTATTATTGCTTATTATTATCTAATTGCTTATTATTATAATCATTATAAACTTACGTATATCTTTCACAAGAGCAAATGCCTGGATAAGTTTTAATCCTGGTTTCCTCTCCTCTTCTGTTAGTTCCCGGCAAAATCCAAATCGTCCATCTGGTTGTTTGAGGAGCTTCCTCAATGGCACGACTTCGAGCACTTTTCCATTCATCATCAATTTCACTTGGCACACTTTGGTGAGCCAGCCCATTAGCTTGTCTTCGTAAACTACAAGACCGCTCCTCATTGGTTGCTGTTCACCGGTCACTAAACATTCAGCCAATTGAGTTTCGTTAATTTCGACAGGTGATAGAATATTTGAAAGGATTGTGTACCGGCAGGGTCCAGCTGGCCCGACAGCAACAAGGTTGTCGTTTTTATGGTAAATTGTCCACGCGTTACCTGACGAAAAGGTTCCGCTCATACCTTGGACATACGTGCAATCTACCTTACTTTTATTGAGACTAACGAGGTAAAGAGCAGAAGTAGTCTTATCATCATCTGCCCCAAGACCATGGGAGCAAAGTACTAACATGCCTCCCATTGGTAATTTATTCAAACTGTTTAGGAGTATTGTCTCCTCGGAACCAACGAAACTTTGCGTGTGATTTACTAACGCTTTCTGTCCTGTTATCTCAAGTTTTATATCTTCTGGAGAATTAACGAAGATAGTTACGGAACTATTTTGAGGGCCTTTTATTTTTAGGAGATCCTTTTTTCCAGTAAACTTCCACAGGTCACTCTTTTCTGACGAAAAAGGAACTGATGATAAAGGTTGTGAATGTACGATATATGCATTACACGGTGTTGTTCCTTTGACTGGCGAAGCACTACACAGTACTAATAATGAGAAATTGATTGATGGATTGTTTACTTTAATTCCAGTTTCAATAACCCCATTTTTGCTACTCAGTAAAACAATTCCACATTGACAATTTCCAAAACGTGGAAGATTTGACAAGAGACTTGTATGCGACGTGCCATAAAGTGCCATTGGACGAAGATCGCCAACGCTATTGGTATGGGTGACATCAAATTCATTGCTGGTATCGTCAGAGTGAGAATTTGAGTGTTCTCCCGTTTTGGCCAATGAAAGTGTTTCGAAGTGGTTGCCGCTTGAACCACAACGAACAAGTTGAACCTGTGCCGCTGCTGTACCTTTATCTGAATTGAATCGAACGATTGAGAGGAGTGCTGTTCCACCACCTGCCCCGGCATTTACGTTGAAGTTTAACTTATTGTATGACTGGATAGGGAAAATTGTCTTCGCATGTCCTTCTATCGAAGCATTTTTATCTAAAATTAAAAAGTTTAATTCTTCAGAAATTTGTCTTAAAATATATGTATTGAGGTTTACTGGATATATCGGTTTATCAAACTTTTAGACTGTATAAACAATAACCTTTTTTTTGTACACAAATAAAATGAAATGATGGAAGCCAGTGAACCTACCAATAAGAGGTTTACGATCACACAATGGTGGAAAGTTCAGGTCCTCCTCGTCGAATGTTATTGGTTGCTCTGAAAAAGCGTATTGCGACGTTTAGAAAATATTGAATAAATACTTCCGAAAATAGATCTTCAAAATAGGCCTATAGCCATATTTAAATAGAATTAACCTGTTTTCATCCTTACCTTCGTCACGTTTAATCTTGTCCACTAATCGTTTGTTTTGTAGTGCAACTCCTGCTGTTCTGAAAGCATTCACAGCAACCACCTTTCTGATGCCAGTCAGCCTCTTCGATACCTCAGCCCCCATGGTAGCGCCCTGTATACCATCAGAACAATTGTGACAGGTTTTTGTACAGCATATGAGTGCCTAGAATCTTATTATAATACAGTGGTGAATTTAGACATCCGAAATAGAGGGGGGGGGGGCGGAATGTCAGTTTTACAGATGGATGGTCTCGGGTTTTGTGTCTGTGGTATTGTATAAGATGTCGAAACTGAACTCTCAGACTAAAAATTTGAGTATAATTTTCCCCATTTTAGATTGTGAACTAGGTGTTCTATGGTTTGGCCTACCCCATTTCTAGAATGAAGGCAGCTTAAAACGATATAGATACTCCTACCTTGAATATGGAGCGTGATGTCGATCGGTTTTCACCGGCAATATGTATTCATTATGCTATTCTATTAAACCATATTGTCTAATCTATCAATATAATTGTTGCTGATCGCTGGTGCATTTTGGGAGGGAAGCGGCCGCGGACCTTAGGCTGTGGCAGCCTAGGACCCCCACGGGGGTGGGCCGAAGCTACCGGACGAATTAGCATTTTGAGGGCCTTATAAATGGATTTCTATTCTGTTTAAATTCTTATTCATTTGGGTTACAAATTTTGGTTACAAATTTGTAACCTTTTTTGTCCTTTACATCTGCATACCTACAGATAACATTTAAATTGTTCATAATGAGCCCATCTGCAATCACTGGAGCTGATAATTTCCAACAAATTTCGTATCACAATTATCAAAAATCAACGGCTTAAAGAGCTGGCAAATAAAATGCAGTACATACTATAGCTATAGTAACTATAGCATTTAGGAACGTTTTTACTGAATTAAGAGGTTATTTAAAAAATGAACTTTTTAAATTTGGAGGCTGAGTGGGAGTTTATAGGCGACGAACCATCCGGACGCTCCGACAAACCATTTTGAGAGCCTTTTAATAGAATTTCTGAAACCCATAATCTGTGAATATTCTATTTAAATTTTCATTCATTTGGGTGTTGTAGGGACCTGAAGAAGTGAAGTTTCATGTCATTTACATCTGCAGGCCTATAAATAGCATATTGTTAGTTTATATGGATCAATCTGTAATCACCGGAGCTGATCAATTTTATACCACAGTTAGCCAGTTTGAGAGGTAGCAAATATAGAATGCACTGCATACTATAGCGTTTCGCAATTAATTAGGAACAACTTTTTTTTTTTTAATATTAGGCTTAAAAAGGTGAACTTTTTGGAATTTGGAGGGGGTGCGTCCCCCTGCCTACGGGCCTGCTTAGCAACTTGATCAAAATAGTACGCAAGGAGGGAATTTGCTGTCCATAATATATGTGTACGCATATATAAGTTAAGTAGCTTAGTTTAGCTTTGAAGGGTTCCACATGTAGAGCAATGCTTGTGGTTGGATACCCTTTTCCACATATTTTGAAAAAAAAAAGTGATATGTAAAAAGTATGTTTCATTGTGACATTTGTGGAATAAAGAATTGAATTTAATTTAATTGAACTAACCTCTCTCACACTAAACCGCAATTAGGACGAGACATGGGCTACATTTATTATGTTATATAACGGTCTTGATCGATTGCGCTAGTCCGTGTGAAGCAAGCAATTCGATAGGGTTGGCCATAAGTAAGCAGACAAAAAGCTAATTTGTATAACTTATTCTATTTAGCACATTTCTAGCTATATTTCAATTCAATTCGTATCAAACCAAATACAAAGCAAATAAGATGTTGAAGCATTTGTCTCAGGCTTACATAAACTCGCAGATGCATAAACAAAAAATTGGCATGCCTATTTCAATGGATTAATAATAATTGTCTTAATGTAATAAATAAATTCATTTTATTAGCATCTTTGAATTTCCAATAAGATAATTAACAGTGCACTTTTTCAGACTGGTTTCTGATAAATAAGTCGACACATAAATCTACATACCGATCTTGTAATACAGTATATTCATAAAATGATGGGACACCACAAGAGACAAACATAGGCCTATTGTAATGAAATTACCACCTCCGTTGTAAGAGCTCTTTTGGGCAATAGGTATAGGTGATATAATTAATGGGACAGCCCTGAAATACTTAGTGATTTGTCCGTCAGTCTGATTGGCTGATGGTGTCCCTATATAAATGCTAGTCTGGGAATAAATCATTCCCTTCTCCCCTGGGGTCAGCGCTGCCAAGGTGGTTGTCCCTCTCCTCGTGGTCCTTCCATGAGAAGAGGCGAGAGATGGAACGTGTGTACTTGTACGGAAGACTAGTTAGAATAAGAGTTACTGCACTCGATATCTGGAACTGTTAAAATACAGACGTTCCCCAGGGATAGGTAGGCATATTTTAAACTGTTGAGCTCTATGTACAGTACAAGTTTACTATTATCTGTGAGTACAATAAAAGAGTCTGTTGGCTCTCTGGATAGAGATAACGTAGTTTATTATTCTAATAAAATAACTAATTTAAGTCAACGGAATAACACCGTTGCCTGACCCACTGCCGGATCGACGGCAATATCTTTGCACTACACAACCTTGATTTTCCTAGGAGTGTGATCCCCAGTGCGTTATTAGGCCTATAGCAAACTGTTATATATAATATACCTGAGCTAAAAATACATTAATACTGGCACTATAGTGATTTACCTGCATCAGATTCTATTTGAGTATACAGTACTCCCTAATCTGCAATGGAAGGACGGTCTGTTTACCTGTGACATTTGACAGTCACACAGCAAGGCCTAGGTATAGGTGCAGGCGGTGTTGATGCACTATTTTATTTCCTCTTAAAAGTATATGCATAAAGTGTAGAAATTAAACATAATCCCTTGAATTACAAGATTAAAAAAGATTTAAATAACCTCTACGCCACAAATCACCAGCCAACCCGCTTGACTGATGACAACAACCATAATCAATTTAATATTTTAGCATTAATAAATTGATCACTATCATATGTTGACTTAATTACAATACATCTATAGGCAAATATAAGAGAATCAAAATTAAACTGTATAATATATTTGCGATTGAATCAACAACGAAACATTTTTTAGAAACAGTTAACAAAACTTACTAAAATATCGACCTAAATCAAAATGTTAACATTTATTTTAGTAGGCCTAAGTTTTCTTTGATGGTTTAGAAACGTAGTGCGCGAGCTAACAATCCAAATTCAAAGACGACCGTTACTAATTCACTTTATAGAATATGGAAAAGAGCTACACACTTTGGGGAAGTATAACAACATCAATCTCGTCGAGAATACACTAAGTACAAAATAAACCTGTTTGGGGTATTGAAAAATGCTAAAATTTATTAGGGCCTACTACAAGACAACAATTAATGCAATATTAAATGATTATGTGAAACGTGGAAAACTACTACAAAACTATGGGCATAATATTTATTTCATTACGGAATTACGAATTGATAATGACAATAGGGAGATTGGATAAAAAAAAATGCAAAGTTCTGTATACATACGTTGTTGGTATCCATTCTAGAAGATGAAAAGTCACCACTTGACTTTGTAGCTACTGCCAACTCAAAGTCCATGTTTCTTTTCTCAGTTAACGAATGAAGTAAATACAGTAATAAATCTTAAGTTAAAAAGAGTTCGGGTTACGATGAGTGAAATTCCAAACAACCCTTTGAAAACGAAAATGGAACAGATAGTTGTCACGTTTGAATATTAAATTTTTATCATCTAATGAAGACTGCAAACGAAATTGTGATAATTCTCAAACGAACAACTAGGGCCTACAGACCAATTCTCTTCTGACTGCCTTCTCCGAGATCTCAGAAAGAATCATAATACATCCGCACTCTCTCGTTTTTAAAAGACCAACGACATTTATATAGTTCATAATTTGGATTCACAGAAGGCCATACACCGTCACGTACCAATTTAAATCTCATAAAGTCCCTTATACTTTGATACAATCGACATGACGACGTATTATGCCATGCTTAAGTTTTCATGGAAATTGAGACCCAGCTAAAAGATGCTACTAAGCCCCTCAATGCTAGCAGGTCCATTCGTTGATATGGAAAATACTTTATTAGATGGTTAACCCAGTGCTTATTAAGAATACATTAACTGGGGAGGCATGTTAAATTATGTTGTAGATATCATTATCATTTTCGGTTTGTGTGACCTAATCTGTTAATAATGAAATGAGCTTAGTACAAATTACAATTACAGTATTTTAATTAGCATAATAGATTTAATCTGAATTTTGTATTATTTTAAACTGAAATCTTTTATTTTTTGGTAATTTTACAATTTTAACTAGAATCTTTATTCAACATTTTAATATTTCAAATTTTCTTTGGGTTTCAAGTATTTATTTGACTTTTTATCATGTATATTTTATTTATATAGAAAAAATGTTTTTTTTTTTCTTTTTTTATTTCAATGACCCGAAAATGTACTCACTGCTGTTTTCATATTGGACTAATAAAATTTAATCTGAATCTGACTTTTTGTTTACTTCGAATCGTTACCAAAGTAAATAAATATGTCTTAAGAATATCTAACAATTCGATAACGATATGCTTGTACGAACAATGTGCTTCTATGCTATGTTATTATATACTTCCGTTGAGATCTTGAGTTTGTGTTCCATAGGCGTTTAATCGAGTGACCGTGGGTAATAATGTGAAGCGCTTAGAGGCCTTGTTGGCGTTTAGCGCTATAAAAGTTTAACATATTATATTATTATTATTACCGTATTATTATTATTATTATTATTTTGCTTCTTAACTAGGCTTATTATTTTTTTAAAGCAAATTTACTAATAAATTATAAATAGTGAAGCGATGTTTTTATGTCATAAAGTACAATAATTTAAGCATATTAATGTAAAATGTTCGAAATTTATCTGGTTTAGTAAATCTAAGGTTTACCTTAACTACTTACAGCTTATAAATTTAAGGATTTTAATAAAACCTATTTTACAATAAAATTTTAATTCGTAATTTTCAAAAAGTATATACCAGGAACCAATTAAAATCAAGTCGTACTCTTTAAATGCAAAAGAGTGAAAAAAGAGTGCCACTCCAATAGAGTGAAAAAGTTTGCAATAATTTTTCAATATTTCAAGAATAATATTCATTCATTTAAGAGTCTTTTTAACTGAAAGTGTTCAGCCATAGTAAATTTTACTAAAGATTTTTCTGCCCATTGTATTGAAATGTTTTCAATATGTATCAGTTTCACTAAAACGTCATTTCTTGAACGATTGATACATGTAACATTCGATTATGATTGGCCATTTGACATGCGGTAGTTGATGTTGATTGGTCAATTGATACAAGCAATATTTCGTGTTTATTGACGTACAATTATCGGTGATGAAAGGTCTCTTCCATTATTCCTTATAAGTAAGTACCGTACTACTCTGTAAAATTTGAAATTTCAATTGTTTTTACACATTCGCTATCTCCAACATCTTGGTTAGTGTTCAATTTGATTGGATTATCATTTACTTCATCAAGTGCAACTGTCTCAATGTTGACTTCGATATTGTCTTTTAAATCTAACCATTTATTAACATCTCCATTCTCATCAACTCCCATCTCAACATTATCTTGTGTTTTTTCATTGCTCTGCGCACTAGATTCGCCATCACTGTAAGAATTTTCAGCCCGTGCTTCTAAACCTTGAATGTTATTGCCAGTAAATTCCTCGGAATCTCCATGTAGAATTAACTGTTCGTCAATATCAGCACTCATATCATAACCATTATTTGCTTTTATGTTCGCTTTTGTATGTGGTTTTGCATTCCCTTGCTCGCTTGTTTCTTGGTCAGAATATGCTAATTCAACATCGCTGTCTTTGCAAACATCACGTTCAGTTTCAGTAGGCGTAACATCATCGTGGTCAGCATTGGTTGCTCCACCATCACCACCATCATCATTACCACTAACCTCACCACCGTTTGTATTATACGTCTGCTCATTCGTATTTGGCTTTGTCTCTATATCATTATTACATTGATTATTATCAATAATATTTTCACCATCTTCAACAACAAACTTATCACCACCGTTAATGGCGCCATTTGCTGTTACGATTGATTCGTCGGTAACTTCGTATACCACTTGTATATCACCAGTTCGCATGGTATCCTTGCTAAGCAATCGCTCTCCAGAAGTTAACGAATCTGTACTTTTGGCTTCCTGGGGTACAACTTGGGGCACAAACTGACTCACCTTCCATTCCAATGTGTGACTCTGTTTGCAAAGACAAAATTTAAATAAATAATATTAAATGCTGAATGGATGTATAGGCGTACATACATACATAAATATGTACATACATACATACATATATATATATATATATATATATATACATATACAAACATACATATATAAATATATACATACACACATATACATACATGCATATATATACATATATACATATATATATATATATAT